ATCAAAAGAAGGAACCTCGCCCAAGAAGAGCCGCTGCTTCAAAACAAAAGCAAGTCCAAGACTCGAGTGACAACAAAAGTGAATCATCATCTTCCAGCAGTGAGGATGATGATGATGGTCAAACACAAGCAAGTGGCGAAAGTGATTCAGGCAGTGACGATGATGGCGATTCTAGTGACGATGATAGCACCTATGCCCACGAATGAATCGGAATAGCTATTACCAGGTATAACAATACCTTGATAAATATAGATGCTATGTATATTAACGTAAGCGACATTGCCGGTACGGAAGTAATGCATGCTACAATATTCATGATCGATTGATTCAGTCGACTAAACTTCGAGCCAAATTCAAAATGAACCAAAACTAGGTACCGGCGCTGTAGCTTTTCTACGTGTTCGATCATTGGCTCCACATTTCGTTCAAAACGGATTATTTGGAGGGAGACTCCAATACAGTACAGTATCAACGCCCGCTATTCCATAAGACTACATTAATTTATAGCAGATGACAATTATTTGCTGTTGACATTGCTATTATATTTGCAATCTGTGCCTTTTGTTGGTCAGAAGTTGCCGCTACAGTTTGTTGAAGCATTGCTTTGAATTGAATTGAATTGAATTGATTGCATTGATTGTTATTCCAACAAAAACGAACAACAGCGAGATAGAAGAAAATGGACGACGATGAGAACGACGACACGCCCTCCCGCATGATGGAGATGAGTCAAGATTGCATCGGTTGGGATGAAAGCAGAAATAGAGACCTACGAGAACTCGCAATATCTCCCACTCCTCAAAAGAATGCTGATGGCACCAATAAAAAAGATCCAAGACGATTGGATGGAGTGAAGCGTCGATTGGCCGAAGGCATCTTGTCACCCGAGGAAGAAGTCAATGCTGTATTTAAATTATTGGAACAACAGGAAGGATCTTCTGAAGCGACCCAGCAGGCTGGGAATCCTCGAAGCGTCCGGCAACGATTGAACGAATCCTACATACGGCCACCCAGAACCAACTCTTTGGCATCCCGTCGTCGAAAGAAATTGATGGAACATCAACGAAACAATAGCGGCGCATCCAGTGCTGATT